CCTGCCTTTGTTGCTGTATATATATTTCAATCTGTCAGTGTATGTGATAACCCACCAGCACCTGCATTCTCACCTCCTCCGCTCCAGTATATACAGCAGGGGGAGCAACATGTACTTCTTATATTCCGTCATAGCAATATCTCACAGGTTACCTCTCAGGACACCAAGGCAGCCTTAACATATTTAGATATTCACTTACTTGGTCTTTCATACTAGTGAAATAATTCTGCTTTTAACTTAAGTTTCCAGGTTAATATTGACTTTTCTGCTAGACACTTTAATTTATAAAAAAAGGTTAAGTATACTGTATTGTATTGTATGCATTGCTGGTTTAAATATTTGAATCTTTGTAAATGTTGCACATACAAGTGACATATTTATATTGTTGTACCTGTACATTTTCCTCTCTGTATTTATTGTACATCTGTACCTAATTGTATCTTATGCATGAAGAAAGCTGGCTATCTCCATTAAAACAAAATAAAATATTATTTTGCATATTACAGTACACTTTTAAAAAGGCTTTCATTTTGATTTGAAGTGACATAAAGATAGTATTAGACTAGTCTGGAAACTGAAGTATAAGCATCACTAAAGTGACAGCTTTTCCTAACTAAAAAAACTGATATACTGACTGAGGCTTCACAAGTTTAATGTTGTGAAAATGAGTGCCAGTTAGTGTCAGATTGACGTACTCTTTAAGCATAGTGGCCGGAATCGAAATAGTGCTTCTGACACAGGAACTAATGTGGCTAACATCAGAGGAAAGAAGGGGCTGCTGCTGCTCTTCTGTTAAAGGAAGGCTTTTCTGAGAAGAAGTACTCCTTACTGTAAAGATCTCCTGCTGCTCCTTGTTGCAATCAGTACAAGGGTGTGATAAGACTGGATATTATCGCAGTGCTCACTTTGATAAAGGACACCATGAAATAGTCTGTGCCTCTGCCATGATGTGTTCTACCCCAGGAGAGATTACCTCTGTTGTCGATTCCCTCCGAGTGTCAGAAGAGGAGACTAGGAGGTGAAAATTAGAACGAAACATGGCAAGAAAATAAATCTTGGCCTATTTATTCCGCTGTATAACGGGGTAATCCTGTAACTTAGAGGAGAACAGATGAAGAAATGAGGAGTGGAAGAAAAAGAGAGATGAAAGGGGGTGCATTGTGTATTTATTCAGTATCTGTATTCTTCTATTGTTCCTCCTTTGGAATCCCTTTTATTCAAATTGTAGACTCAGGAGACCCTCTCATGGAGGAGTAGCAGGGAGGTAGGGATGAAAACGGGACGAGATACTCATTTAAACTTGATTATTGGCTCAAAATGATGATTTGATGGCAGTGATGTGTGTGTGAGATAATGGCTGCTGATTTGTGTTTCACTATGATTTGTATGTAGTATATTTGTGGCTTAGTTTATGCAGTCTGATTTGTTCTGGTGAAAAGAACCTAATAATTAAAGTGGATATTTCCTGACACTCAGACCGTGAGAAAAGGAGAAAAATAAAATAGCTATATTCAATATAAATGCACCAATTTACGTAGAAAAATGAATCTCATCTGAAGTCTTACCAAAATCATAATTTCCCTTTAACATGTTTTTCTGGGTCTACTCATAGTAGATTGTAGAAATGAACTGCTGATGTATTTATATTAAATTCAATATTAAATGCCAACCACCAACACTCGTAAAAAATACAATGCTTTGGATTATCCTTCAGTATATCACACCCATAATCCTTTGTGCTCTATCAATGTGTCTACAGTTGCAGATGAAGTGCACTCAAATTGAACTGTATGCCAAACATTAAGGTAGTGATAAGCTTTTTTTTCATTTTGCATTTTATCTTCTCAACCATACACTGACTTTGTCTTAACAAAATATTTTCTGCAAGACTCTGATTGAGCATCCAGCAGTAATATTAACATTACAACCAATAGGAAAGATGATCAAAAAGAAAAAGTATATTTTTTTAAAGTGTTAAAATAAGTATTTCTTGGAAAATACAATGCAAATATTGGCAAGCTTTCATAGGCATCTAGGCAACAATTTCAATAACAACACATTGTTTTGCTCTCACCACTCCCCCCCCCCCCCTCTTCTCTAGCTGCCTCAACAGTTCCAGTGCAGTGTCTGGACGACTTTGAAAAGAACACCCACCACCCAGTCTCCCGGGCAGCGCCTCGCCCCCCCGGTGCCCCCCCTCCCCCTCATGCTCCGCCGCCCCTGCCCCCCGCCGGCATCCTGTCAGGCCCCCCGCTGCCGGACAGCCTGAGGGAGGACTGCTGGTACAACGGGCCCTGGCCCACCCAGAGCTGTTCGGGGGAGGCTCTGCTGGGCAGCGACCCCTTCTCCGTGGTGCTGCCCCCGCCCCCCCTGAACCAACCCTCCCTGGACGACAGCTCGCGGTCCTTCCCCAGCCCCCCCAAACCCAGTGACGCCATGTTCTGGGAGGGACACTCCGCTGCCTCCAACTCCTCATCCTCAATTGGAAACTGCTGTCCCAGGAGCCCCCCCCAATACTGAGTGAGGAGAGAGGATGGGGTCATTAAATAGTGATGGAAAGTAAACAAATGAATGAACTCTCCAACCCTGCCACATAGCTACCACCTAACCTGCCTTAAGTTGATAAGACCACTCCTCTGGGCTGGACCTGCTGCTAGTGGGAGCTGACTGAGGCCGGAGGGGGCCTTTATGAGGGGGGGACACTCTGTCTCTGCACACCGCATCGGTGGACAGATCCGACTTTGCAGAGGAACATTTGACGGAGAGACCCTCAGCAGAATAAGAAGTGTGCAAGCATGCATACAAGCAGTTTTATTTCTGTGTGAATACGAACACACATCAACAGCGTGTGCCTGTGAGTGCAGAGCAGGGTGTGGGCGTCTTTGGCCTGCCTGTGTCTGTATATCGTCATAATAAACCTAATAGGGCTCAAACGGGCCTCTCTCCATTCCCTGCGGCCCCCGATCACTGGGGCCACAGCATCATACTAGAATTTGTAAACTCCCTCCAATGCAAGTCTTTTTACATTCGATTGCTGTAAAGTAAACAGTATGTATTTACATGTTTGTCTCATGATGGTGTGAAGGAAATGTAAAGGTATTAGGACTTTGAAATGTGTACTGTGATGGAAGCAGACATACAGACTAAGGATAATCAGAATTCTGTGACCAAATGCCATCTATTTTTTTCTTCAAGTTGTTGTTTTCATTCAATATCAAAGTAGGCTTTCAATTTAGCTATGCTTACCAAATCATTGAGGATGTTACGTAACGAGTAGCAAATAATAACTTTAATCTAAAAATGTATTGCTTTCTGAAACGAAACACTCCACCCTCACTGGCACTGGAAAACTGTTTGATTCTCACAGAAATGTCTCAACGCAAGCCTCCTCAAACCTGCCTGTTATCACATAGTCAGAGCTACTGTAAGACAATACGTGTGGGTTTCTTTTCTCAGTTGTAAAGGGACATGTAACATGTAAAGTTGTGTATTGTTGTTCATCTTTCAAGTGTAAAGGACTCATGGAAGAGGCTACATACCCTCCGATGTATTTGGAAAGCTGAATGAGTTTGTGAGTTTTAAAAATGTATCTAAACTCTGTACTGTGCCGATGTTGATCAATGATACATTTGTAAGTTATAGTGTGAGGTGGGAAGTTCCTCTTTGATTTCTCTTTTTAAGTCAGATGAGTATAATCACCTGAAGGATGTACAAAGGCAAACGCATTATGGGTTGAACACAAAGACGCTGAGAGAAGAATGTGCATATTTGTATAAATGTATATGGTGGGCTTAAGTACTCTGCCAGACGTGACTTTGCACTCTCCAAAACATACTTTAGTTTTTTTTCTCCCCCAGCCCCAAAGCTTCTGATGTGTATAAGAGTTGTCTCCACTGGTGAAGACAATAAGTCTATAAACCTGAAGAAAAGTAAGCTGTGACTAATAGGTGCACAAAGGCCCATGGGGTTTTTCTTCAGTCTGTTCCATGATAACTGTGGTCTTTTTGTTCATTTTTAAGAAATGTTATTTTACAGCAGTAGTTTGGTACTTCTGTAAACGATTTGCAAACCAAAATGCAATGTACAGTAGATATGGATTATATTTTAGATTTACTGCACTTCAGACTGTTTGTAAATATACTCAATTAAACAAAGGAAATGAAGTGTGCTGTGTCTCTATCCATATTGTCAGCAATAAGGTTAAGTTTAAAAACAGGAGGCTTTCGGATGTTAATTAATAGTCAAAAGCAGATATAACCTTTCTTTAAAAATATAGTTTTTTGAATGTTGCTGAAACCAAACCATTTCTGGATTCACTACAGGAGGAAAATATAATCAATCCGCTAATTTCATCAACTATTTGTTTTAGTCAGGTATCCATAAAAATGTCCAGCTTGGCCGTCTTCTGGCTTTTCAATGTGAGGATATGCGGCTTCTCTCTGAGTCATAACATTAGAATGAATACCTTGGGGAATTTCAATATAGCAGACAGGCAATTTAAAATCACAATTCATGTTTGCATTTGCCATTGATGATCAAACACTTTTTTTTTTAAGAAAAGGCTGAAAAATATCTAGCAATAATTCCACGCCTTACATTAATTAAGGGTACCAAACTGGTTAACGGGGAATAACATTCTTAATATGTCAACAAGAATACCCCATTACAGTAATTCTTTGACACTTTTAATCAAATTGTGCCATTGTTTGTTCTTTGGAATTATAGATATAAACAAAAATGAAAAGATGGCGTAAACGGTCCAACTCATAAAAAGAATAGTAAAAATCAAATAAGACATAAGTGATTATAATTTACTTTTGAAATGAAAAGTAAATAAACACAGCTTAGATAACGTAATCTGTTTAAGAGGTTCATTTAGCTCTATACTAGTGAGGCCTAACTGTAAGGGTGATGCTTCAAAATATTTATTTAAAAAAAAGGAAAAAGAAAGAAAGACAGCTTTTTCCCAGAGAAATGTTATTAGAGATAAGAACAACCAATTTAAATCAGCAAATGCTTGGACATTTAATTTCCCCCATAGTGTCAAGAACGTCCAAACGTCTATGTTGTACAGACAATAACTCAAATAAACAAAGGATGTTAGATGTGTTTGTCATTTACCATCGATACACACTTTAGTGCAGCTGAATATCTTTATTTACAATGTCATTTATCATTGCCTATTTCAAATGATCATACATGTTATAATGCTCTGCGAGATGTTTCTTACATACGCTGTACAAGATTCTTTAATTGGAAACCAACCCTTTTTGATGACAAAGGATGTTTTACACTTCAGATTTTAACCAAGCTTTAAGGCAGAGCAAAGGCAACACAACAGTAGATACAGGAGGAGACTGTATGATCAGATCTGCATATTCAATTCATCAAAGAGCTCATCGCTAAATATAATGTTAAAGCTGCTGATTTAATCAAGTGAGGGAGATCATTCCAGCAATCTGACAGAAAACATCTTGCAAATATACAGGAAAAAAAGAAGCCATTAATTAGATATATTTCTTGCACATCAAACTGATTTCAGTCACTCCACAGGTTTTAATAAAAGGCACAGGCTACGCTTTAAAGATGAGCATGTATCCTGGCCATGGGGGACATGGAGCTGGTTCTGACCAGAGTCTCACAATCTGCACCTTCAGAAGGTGGGAGGCTATCATGTTGTTAGCTACATGCTAGTTGGGAGTTTTTGTTTCCTGTTCTTCGCCGCGACCCCTGTCGTCAAAAACTCAATTTTCTCTTTGATGTACTCCTGCTTACACTGCTCGAAGAACGCAGGGTCCTTGTAGCTAGTGGGAGACAGAAGGAACAGTTTTATTTCACAGAATTAATGTTTTCTTGTGTGACTCACTCGATGGTGAGGGTGGCTCACACAGTGTTAACCTATGTTAAAGATGTTGGTGGGATAACACTTAAGGGTGTTGCAGAGGATATCGCACTCACTGTATCGTCAGACATTCCTTCAGTGCTGCGTTCTGCTCTCGACACTTTAACACCATGAGGAACCCCGAGTCTTTGCAGCAGTGGTTGAAGGCTGGAGGAAGGTGGCAGAAAGAGGGGGAATTAGCAGAGGAACAGCATGTACAATAGCCACAAAGATAACTATTATTGTTTCTATTATTTTAAGCCTTCCACCTTTTCTGTTTGATCCCAGAGTAGAAGCTCAGAAAAAAAGACGAGTAGCCACAAGCTAACAAATATGGGCCTTCAGTGGGCCCTCCACCACAAGAAGGAACCCAGTAACTCTGCAACCTCTTATCTAACTGAAACCATGTTTCCTTATTCGAACAAGGCCTGAACTGAGTGGTCGTTTTGGTGGTCGCCCTGTTTCCACATTGACCTTGTAACGGTCAGTCCACCACATGTCTGTAAACCCAGTAATTAAATATAGGCCACGTTTCAATACTTCCTGACTGACCGTGGTAGCAAACTAAGTGGTGAATATGTTCAGCACATAGATCTCTTATAGACATGGCACGTGTGTGACGTGTTGTCACCCTGCTATAAATACCATGTGGGGGGCCTCTATTTGAGATTCTTGCTGTTACCCTGCATTTCTCCACAGGTTTCTCTATCCACAGGTCTGTGTTTCAGTTCTGCATTTTGTTTGCAGGTCCAAATGAGGTAAGCACAATCTGTGTTGATGGTGTTGGTGACAGAATGGCAAACATGTTTATGTTCAGAGTCTCCTACGATTTTCTACAAGACTTTGGCTGGTAATCAGTCCCACCTTTCCTCATTGAGGGTCCATGTATTTGGGCTGGCTCTCAGTCCAGCTACACTGAGTGTAGGGCTGTGCGATTATGGCAAAAATCATAATCACGATTATTTTGGTCAATAATTGATATCACGATTATTAAATACGATTATTCATTGACTTTGAAAACATCCATTTATTGAACTTTAAAACGAATTAAAATAATAATTTGAACAGTATCTTTTTAACTGTTGATTACCCTGAACGTATAATTCAACTGAAAAACCAATAAATAAAATAAATGATACATTTATATTTACATTTAAATAAATAATATCAAAATAATAAATACCAATAAACAAGATCAACAAATATTTTTGGAGCGCACTTCAACAAGCTACTAAACATATATAAATATGATAAATAAATTAGACTAAAATGAATTAGATCAAATATGTTGCAGTGCACTGTCACAACCTAGCAAAGCAAAATAATCGTTTTTTTTTCGATTATGTTGTTTTCGTAATTGTGGCAGGCCAAAATAGTAATTGCGATTAAAATACGATTAATTGCACAGTCCTAACTGAGTGCTTCATTTGTTTCCCTCCCTATAGCTAGGTGCTGAACATTTCTGGAGTTTCTAATCTCCTCGGACCAATCGTAGCCAATATCAAATATACAGATTGCAAAGTAATGCAATAAGGTATAAAATCGGAAAACAAATGCAGTAAGCATTGCTATGTCCAGGGGTGCACATAACTTTTTTGCCCTGGTTCTCAAAGGAGCACCTGGAGATGTTGCTTGGTGCTCATCCTTAAAATGAAATAAACCGTAACTTTTGAGGGGGTCTTTACTTTATTTGCCAGACACACGGCACTGAACACACATGCAGAGGTGAACACAGAACGCACATGCAGAGGTGAACACAAGACAACATTAGCACGACCAGTAATCCTACAAGCCGTCATCACTACCCTCCTGACTGTTCTCCTCACTGTCTTCCTCTCAGCTGTCAGACATGGTAGCTGATGTAGGCCTACTACTTTCTCTCTGGTTGAGTCTGCGATTAGCTGCTTGCATCCACTAGTCAACAGCTGGTTTTGGGTAGAAAGTCTCTGTTGTCATCTTAGACAAGTGGATGTAATCAAATAAGTATGTGAACATAAGTAACCAGTAACTTACCATAGCCAATAACAAATGAATGTAACTTATTTTATTTGTGTTGTTCATTCATATCTTATTTTACCTTAACATTTATTTTTGATATTTTTGGTTACTGTCCTATAGTATACATTGGAATGATTTCAAACCTGTTTATCCCAATTATTATAAAGGAGTGCCTTGGAAATATGTGTTTACACAAATTGTGACCAAACCGTTTGAACTTAGACTAAAGTGAACTATCTAAACACTCAGTCTTTCACTGAGCTGTAGTTATCAGCCTCTCAGTCTGAATGGAGAGGACTCTCCCTCCATATTATTGTAGAAACATCTTCTTCTTATATCCGTTAAAGCAG